AGAGGTGGCTCCCCTCCGGCCCGGACCCGTGGCCCCGCGCGCCCACGGCAGGATGGACTCGGCCACCGCCAACGGGGACGACCGGGACCCCGAGATCGAGCTGTTCGTGAAGGTAGGTCGGGGCGGGGCGGGGCCGCGAGCGGGGTCCCCAGCCCGCGGGGGCCGGGGGTTGAGGGAGATCTCCAGGGCGGACCCCGGGATGGAGCCGGGGGAGGGACTCAGAGCGCGGGGCCCCCTGGCTGGCGGAGCGGAACGAGCGCCCTGAGCCCGGGGCTGTGGTGGCTGCTGCCTTCCCCGCGGTCCGGGCTGGAGCGGGGAGAGGCTCCCGGGGGTGGGGATGTCCTGCCCGCAGGCTGCTGCGGGGCGCGGCGCGCGGTCCCGCTCCGCCTCCGGTCTCCGAGCTCCCGGCTGGGCAGCAGCCTGGGGTGGAGGCGGCCGCAGGTTCCTCTCTGCCCCGCGTGCCGGGGAAAGGATGCAGGCCCGGCCGCGTTTCCCCGCTGGAATGAGAAAGAAACATTTGATCAGCTCCCCGCAGACCAGGCAGGAGCTGAAACCTGAGCCCCCGCGGCGAGGCGAGCGTCCCGGGGCCGGGCCGGGGTGGGGCTTGCTGCGGGGCTCACCTGGCTGCCCGGGTACCCAGAGCTGGGGCAGGGGGGGGGGGATCCGGTCTGGAAATGCAGACTTCCCCTAGAAATATTCAGATCGTGGGGAAGGTGAGTCCTCTCTCACTTAGTGCTCCTCAGGGCAGAGAAGCTAAATTAAAACAAAACAGCCTCCACACTCCTTGGAATTGTACCCAGCCCATCGGTATTCCCAAACCAGCTAGATAGATAGATAGATAGATAGATAGATAGATAGATAGATAGATAGATAGATAGATAGATAGATAGATATAGATATAGATATCGCCACAATTCACAGGTCTTTGGTACCTTTGTACTTCGGGGAGTTCTTTTATCCTGGCAAAGTATATGTCAGTGTGCTGGTTGGCCACGGAGCTGGACTGGGCCTTGTATTCTTGGGATTTATCTGTCATTTAGTGGCACCCGCTTCCCTCAGCCTGTGCTCTTTCCATGCCCTAGTTTGGTTTGTGGGTGGGATTTCCAGGTCCTCTTTGGCAGACCTAGGTAGGAAAAGAGGTCATGTCCCCTTCCCTGCGGGGCTTCCGCGTGTTGGAGGTGCCCAGAACTCCTACTCCAGACTGGCCACCCCGTGAACAGGCAGCACTTTCACAAAGCAAGGAGTCTGGCTGCTCTCCTTAAGAAAGCCAGTCCTTATTCTAGGACTTCCTCAGATTCCCTGGGAACAGGAGTTCGTAGGTGTCAAGTTTCTGAGTTATTTGAAACACGAATTGGTTCTTTCGAGACAGAGAAGCCCTTTGCCCCAGTACTAGGCACGGAGATCTATTCTAGCCCCAAGTTGGCCCAGTTGGAGATTTTGTTCATTTATATGCAAAGCTCACTTACCCAGCTCTTGGTACCCCGCCCCCCATCTCCCAACAAACCCTAACATGCCTATATTGCCACCTGTATCTTTTTTTTTTCTAAAGGAAACAATTTTTGAGACCCAAGTAAGTCTTTATAACTAGCCCAAAGATCAGACTGATGGAAAAGCTGTTTTGGTCCAAAGTTTCAGGCGAATGTTACATTCATAGGAACGAGTCAAGTCTGGAAATGCTGTGAAAAGGCAGTTCGGGCCTCCAACGGTGTCACCTTTAGTGAAGCCCTGTCCTGACTTTCTGAATCAGATGTTTCCAGAGTTGGAAATGACTCTGAGCAGTATGACTCCCATAAACAAAAAGCTCTTCTGGTGGGCGGAGTTAGGATGTTGGTGATGGACAATACTCCCTCGATAAGACCACCAGCTCAGATTGCTCATGGAGTTCACCCTCCTAAGCCACCAGTGAGCTTTAAAGCTGTGTGACCCCATCCCATACGGACTGGCAGTCACTATCAGTAACCATGGCTGCTGCTGATAAGAGTGATCTTAGTAAATGGCAGGATTTGGGGACTGGTGACACATGTTCATCTAGCTCATGTCATGTGGTCGCCAGCATCCTTGATCCTACAGACTGGCTCACCGGTGAAACATGAAAAAAAAAAAACCAACAAAAACCTGACTCATAGTCACCTCGTGAGACTCCCCAGAGCTGTGCTTTCCTCCTCAGATACAGCCCTGGGAAAGAAGAAGGATGACTTGTTTGCATTTCATGTGCTCAGAGAGGGTGCACAAAGTGCCCAGAGCTAGTCAGCCAGCAGCATTCTAGTTTCAGTCCTCCTCTGTGTCCCTGCAGACTTGTTAAAGCTCCTGTTCTTTCCCAAATACACAAATATGTCAGGCTTGTACCCTATTTTGACAAGCAAGGCTTTCAAGTGGCTTCTGTGATAACGATGCTGTGTATATGCTGTTCTGTCCTGACGTGTTCACAAAACCTGGTCAAGAATATTGCTAGGCATTCCAGGTCTTTCCCTTACAGAGTGCATTCTAACAGGGATATTGAAGAGATTGTTTCTCCACATTCCCCCTCCCCCCCCATTTATTGTCTATAATAAGAGAGATCAGACTGGATATGCTCCAATTCTACTGCTCAATACCACCTTGAGGATGGAGCAGAGATTTGAAGGCACTGAACCTGCATCCAAGTCTTATTAATCTCTGTCATTCATTAGCTCAATGGCTCAGAAAAGTTGTTGAACCAAGAGAGTGATTATGAATGAAGCAAACACGCCAGTCATTATCCAAACCCAGACACATTTGGCTGGAATGGAGAGAGACACCAGCGATACTTGGTCTGGGAGAGGTGTGACCAGGATTGTTTGGGGAATGTGCGTCAGCCTGGGTAGGAAAATGCCGTGACCTCAGGCTTGCTGTTAGGATTCCAAGGAAATGGGTGAAAGTACTCTCCCTGCTGAAAATCCCCTCAAAGGCAGAGACACCCACCCTGACCTGGTCCCCGGCTGATAGGCCCTCCCAGAAGCTGGCACCCCCCTCCCTGATTTGCCTTAGGGAACCAAGGCCCAGTTCCTTCCTCTCCTGTGGGGATATTTTGAGAACCATGAGATCATCTTTACTTTGGACTTTGATCATAGAAGGAGGGGAGCAGGTTGGAGAATGGGTAGTGGCAGCCAGGGTAGGTTATTGAAAGAATTAAAAGGGCGAGGAAGTCAAAGCCAAACAGAAAACCATTTGGGACAAACACAGGATGTGCTGAGTATGTTCCATCAAGATGCTCCTCCCATTGGGGCTGCCTCCTCCTCCGTTCTCAGGTCCACCCACACCCGAGGGTGTAGAACGCCACCAATGCGAAGTGACCTTACAGGGAGGAATTCCCTTACACCTATTTCTTACGCCCTGGGAGCTGAGTTTCAACAGAAAACCGTGGTTCTCATCCTCAGCTACTCATGCCAGATTGCAGGGAGATCTTTAAATCCTGGGACCCCAGGTCTCCAGGCTAATGATAGCCCTGTCTCTGTGGGTGGGGTTTTCAAGCCCATCCTGGGAGACTTCAGGCCAAAGTCCTGGTGGAGAAACCGGATCCTGGGAGGGTCCAACAGCAGAGAGCTTCTGCTACAGCTGAAATAGGTAGCCTGGTGCTCAGAGGCTTCATGGCAGAGAACTTCTCATGGAGCATCATGGTCAGGAGTATCTCCATCCACAGCTGCTCAGTTAACAAATGCTGACCAGATAATACACCCTGCCCACAGCACTCCAGAACAGACAGTGCCTGGAGGGAATAAAAACGGATCCCTGCTGATGGGCCGATAGAAGGGACTAGTTGTTTCCTTTATTGAGTGATTCAGAAAGCTCTGACAGTGATACCGGGCACACATCAAGTTGGGGGGGAGGGGGGAGCGTGGGGGGGACGTGTGGTGTGTCATCTGACTGCCAGAACCAACAGGATCAAATCCTGTGTTGTTTCCTCTATGGTCCCGAGCTGTTCTGGCTACCGGTCACCTTGGGCAGCTTACCCAGGCATGAGCTCATCCGGGTTTTGATGTTCCCTTGATCACATTTAGCAACAGTGGCTCCTGTCACGGCAGTACATCCACAGAGGGCCAGTCTGAAGGCCCAGCGAGACCCTCTCAGGCATCATGGGGGGGGGGAGCAGGAAGTAACCTTGGGTCTCAGGTATGGAAGTCCAGGGGCGGTGTGTCAGCTCCCATGTCCTGCTGACCTGTAGTGTTTCTCCACTGCTTGCTGGCTCTCTCCAGCCAAGGCAGAATCTGTTAATTTAGACAATCAGGTAAAAAAAAAAGCTTTCTATTCTTGGTTCTCTTTGAGTTGCCAGGGGCTGAACTGGGATATGGTGGAAAAAAGTGCAATTTGGGGTGTTAGGCTGTGGTTTACCAGGTGTGCAGGGTAGAATGCTTATTTGATCTTCAGTCTGAGCCATAGTGTGTGTGTGTGTGTGTGTGAGATCTGGGCCTTGAACTCAAGGCCTAGACACTGTCCCTGAGCTTTTTTGCTCAAGGTTCATGCCCTATCACTTGAGCCATAGCTCCACTTCTGGATGTTTTTAGTTTAATTGGAAATAGAAGTCTCATGGGCTTTCCTTCCCCAGCTGGCTTTGAACCGTGATCCTCAGATCTCAGCCTCCTGAGTAGCTAGGATTGCAGGCATGAGCCAATAACCGAAGGCCATTTGGGAGGACAAACACAGGATGTGCTGAGTGTGTTCAATCAAGATGTTCCTCCCATCGGGGGCTGCCTCCTCCATTCTCACGTCTACCATAGCCCAGGGATAGAATGCCACCAAAGCCGAGTGACCATACAGGAGGAGTTCCCTTTTACTTATTTCTTAGGGCCGGGATTTGGTCTGGTTTTGCTTTGGGTTTTACAAATGAAATGCCAGCCTCTATGCTGCCATTAGAGCTGGTTCATGGAGTTGGTTGGAGCACTAAACAAGTGGTGTATGAATCTGAGGTCAAAGTCGGGGTCTCCCCTGAAGGCTTCACAAACTCCCTTAGTGAAAGCCAAGTCTGGAACTTCCTTCCCTGGGTGGGTAAAGGAAGTATGAGCTCACACTCACCTGCTTGTGTCTCATTGTTGGAGCCAGGATGCAGACCAAAAGCAACTGTGGCCAAGCATGGCCGTTCTGATGAGCTAATTCTTC